GGGGGTGGGGATTTGGGTCGGGTTCGGGTTTGGGCCTGGACTTGGGTTTTGGGTGGAGAGAGAGGAAGAGTCGTCGGGTTCGGGGTCGGAGGCTGCATGGAGAGGCTGTGGGTGTGCCATTTGGGGCGTGGTGAGTAAATCAGGGGAGGAGGAGATGGTGGTCATGGCCTCATGAAACTCGGTGGCGGTGGAGGTAGGCAGGACTTGGGGTTTTTATTTATTTTTTTGGGAGGGTTTTGCTGCACGCTTTAAACTTTGAAAGATATTATTGGATTATGGGTTGTGTATTTGTCCAAGCTGTATGTGTAATTGTCCAAGCTGTATTTACAGCTTATGCCAAAATATATATATATATATATATATTCTAATTCTTTTTGGAATGCAATCCAATTTGAGCATGAACACCACTTAAATACTAATTTATCATGCTTATATCTTTGACAAAGCCTAAGCATATTTGGTTTTGGAAATTTTCGACAAGTCCATGCCTATTTGATTTAGTAAGTAATACACAATTATTTTGTTACAGAAAATTCTGAATATTATCTTAAATTTTGTTTGTTTGTTTTGTTATTGAATTTGACATGCTAGCTTCAAAATTATAAAGACTAAAAAAGCCTATATTGGGAGAGAATGCATGGATAAATGTTCTTAATCATTTGACCTGTAAGCCTGTGGAAAAAAACCTTGTGTGCATATAATTATTTTCAATTCACTTGTGTTTTCAGTTTTTTTTTTCATTGGACACTATGTTTTAGTTGATTAGGGTGTTTATGAGAGTAGATTTTCACTAAGAATTCTCATTTAGTGGAAACTTGATTCATTATCAATAGTGACTAATAAATCTAAATCCAACCGTAAGTAAATACGTCAAAAAAACCTTCTTTTTTTCAAATTCTGTCATTAATATCTTCCTATTTAGAAAAGGAGAAAAAGTAAAAAATTGAGCTGTGAATTTTAGCGGCAAGAGCCCCCGCGTTATTTGAGTATCGAGGTTGAGCAAAAGGCCCCAATTCCAAATACAATTAGGGTTTAACGGAATTTCCCCAACGCTTGGTTGAACAATTCGCAGCAAATCGCAATGGCTCGTAACGAAGAGAAAGCGCAGTCGATGCTCAATCGATTCATCACACTCAAAGCCGAAGAGAAGAAGAAGCCAAAAGAGCGACGCCCATACCTGGCCTCCGAATGCCGGGACCTTGCCGAGGCCTCCAAATGGCGGCAGCAAATCATGGGAGAGATTGGCCGAAAAGTCGTCGAGATTCAAAACGAAGGGCTCGGCGGGCACCGTCTCCGCGACCTCAACGACGAGATCAACAAACTCATACGAGAGAAGGTTCACTGGGAACGACGAATTGTTGAGCTGGAGGCCCTAACTACGCGAAACATGCCCCTAAGATGACGGACCTCGATGGCAACATCATCGACGTCCCAAACACTAGCGGCCGCGGCCCTTGGTATCGGTATTTCGGCGCGGCGAAGAAGTTGCCGGGAGTCAGAGAGCTTTTCGAGAAGCCGCCGGAGCTGAGAAAGCGGAGGACGAGGTACGATTTATACAAAAGGATTGATGCGAGCTATTATGGGTGTAGGGACGATGAGGATGGGGTTCTGGAGAAGGTTGAGGCACCGGTAGAGGAGAAAATGAGAGTGGAGGCCGTGGCGGAGTGGAAACGGATGGAGGAGATAAGGAAAGAGGCAAGGAGGGCGGTGAAGAGTGGGGAGGTGGTGTCGGTGGCGAAGGCGAATGAGGTTTTGTTTGAAGAGGATGAGGTGGTTGAGGAGGAGAGGCAGAGAGAAAGGGAATTGCAAGAGAGGAGTGAGAGGGAGAAAGAGTTTGTGGTGCACGTGCCGTTGCCGGACGATAAGGAGATTGAGAAGATGGTGCTGGAGAAGAAGAAGAAGGAGCTGCTGAGCAAGTATGCTAGTGATGGATTGTTGGAGGAGCAGACTGAGGCGAAGCAGATGCTTAACATTCAGCGCTAGAATGCAGATACCAATAAAGAGAAAGAGTATGTTACTGTGTTTAATTTGATTCATTGACTGATAAAAAGTTGTTCTTATCAAATTGATGTTTAAGATGGATTTTTGATGTGTTAATGTTCCGGCATAAGTTGAATTCTCTTTGGTTATTGGTAGGCTTTGTTAAGTAAGTGTTTGTAAAGTATTTAGATGGTGGATTGAGTAATAGTTGTCCTTGATGATGAAACAAGTTATATTTGTCACTTTGGATTTAATTTCAAGGAGTTATAATTATCAGTTGATTATGACAAGTTTTGTTAGCCTTTCTACTACATGTTCTATTCTTTTATCAAAGTTTCATTACTTTGTTTGTTGCTGCTGAGTTTATCTGGCTACCTCTTTCAAATTATGCTATAAGCTGTGTAAACATAGAACATATCAACTATTTAGTTTATACATGATTTGTACTCTTTAGTACGAGAGCAAATTTCTAATTTTTCTAAAGAAAGAAAAGTAGGTTTCAATATGAAGAACAATTTAGGAATACAAGCATGAAGATTTGGATGTGAGTTCTAAGAAACAACCAAATTATACTCATGCATGGTCTCTCTGCTATAATGATATTATTTACAGTATTTGTGTGAGCTGAGAAATATTGCATGTGAGTATATCACACAACAACAATGGTTTGGAAAGGAAAGTTGATGCTGATTTTTTCTGGAACTTCAACAATATCATATGCTTAGAGCAAGCATGAAGGTTTGTTCATTGTTTGATTTATCGTTAAAACATTGTCTTGAGTTTATTGCCTACCATTTTCTTACCAAAGAAAACTGTAAATTGCTTTGTGTAAAAAAGAAGTTGCTGGGTTGCCGTTGATTGTTGGGCACTTATTTATTTTATCAACTACTGGTTGTGGAACTACATTTTATTAACCATCTCCATTCTATAGTCATAGTTGCTTTGAGATCAATATGCATCATTCACTAAAACTCAGAATCTTTAAATTTTCTGGTTATATTGCTCTCTGGGCCTGCCATGCATTAGTACAACAAAGGTGCCTATCTCCTTAGTTTTGGCCCCTTGGGGTTCTTCAATTCAATGTACAGGTAGCTGATTAAAAGGTTGGGTGTTTTCTTCTTACTATTTGAAATAAAAGAATCGTCTGCCGACAAAGATTGAATGAGCTTATGACATAATTTCTGATTGATAATGCACGTATTATTATGAGCCACACAGTATGACACTAGCAGTCCTTGACTTTTCGTTGGTGGAAACTTGAGTGGAAAAACGATCGGATGCTATGGTGCAGGTTGACACAACTTTTGGCCTATCTCGCAACATCTTGTGATGTTGATGGAATACAAGTATATGCAAGTCGTGAAATGAGGGCCAGAGGTGCATTGGTCACACAATTGGGGAATTTTATCATCATCTAATGCCTCGTCGCCTGCTAGTTTTCGCTACTTTCACAAGTTTTATAGTGCTCTTCATCGATGTTTGAGACCGTAACAGAGAAGAAAGAAATGTGCAAAGCATATGAAGTCTAATCTAAAAGCATCCACCCACCATGGGAAGGGCAGTGAAAACATGTACAACCAAGAAGGCATAAAATTCATTGATTATTTAGACATAACCCTCAAACCTCCGTTAACATCTGTATGTACTCATCATTAAACTAAAACTACATAAAAAGCCGAAACCAACAAATTAAACAAACCCCAAACACCAAAAATTACTAGAAATCAAAGCCACCTCCAAAGTCATCACCACCAAACCCAGCATCATACCCAGAATCATAGGCAGCCATCTCACCAACATCTCCAATCATATCTCCAATCAGCAAACCACCCAACAGTCCAGCTCCCATGCCAAGCGCCATGTTACCTCCTCCCCTCTTAGGCTTCTGCGGCTTCACACCTTGCTGCGGCGGG